CCCTGAGGGACACGACCCCTCCTTGGAGGGCTGCAGGGGCAGGTGGCAGGCCTGGGAGCCAAGTCAGAGGGGCTGCCCTGAGGAGCTGGCAGTGGCCTGGTCTCCAGGCTCTGCTCCCACAGACTCCAGCTCTAGTCTCAGGAGGCAGGGACCACAGGAAGAGGCCAAGCCCCTGCCTGCCACTCTGGACAGCCAGGGCAGGGCAACATCGCCAGCAGAGAGACCTTGTCTCCCTCAGCTTCTGGGAGGGCACAGCCTCTTTGGTGCCCTGGAGAACCCTGGGCAGCCTGGGTGCTGAAAGGCCCTGATGCCTGCTGCACAGGGGCAGCCAGGGCCCAGGCAAGAGGTCCCAGGGGACTATGCTGGAGCTGCACTGGCAGGAGTCATGCCCAAAGAACCATCTGTCTCTCTTACACACACACTGACACACTCACACGGTCACACTCACACACACAAGGGACACACACAAACTCACACTCACAGACCCACACACACACTCACACACACTCACACACTCTCACACAATCACACTGACACACACTCACAAACTCACACACACACTCACGCACTCACACCCACACACACTCTCACACACTGTCAATCACACACTCACAAACTCACACTCACACACACTTGCACACACACAGTCACACACACTCACACTCTCACACTCTCACACACACTAACACACACACACACACACACACTCTGCATTGCCAGTCAGAGCTTTCCAGAACCACCAGGCGTGGATGTACTCAAGCCAAGCAGCCCAAGAAGCCTGTGTTGTGCTGTGGGCAGGGCTCTGCCAAGCTGGAGCTCCTCGGTGGCCCAGCTGGGACTTGGATGAGTGGCCCGAGGCCACTGTCATGAATAACCACAAACCGGGTGGCTCACCACAGAGGACATAGACCCTCTCCCAGTCCTGGAGGCCAGAAGTCCGAAATCCAGGTGTCTCAGGGCCACACTCCCCCGAGAAGCTCTAGGGAAGGCTTCTTCCTGCCTCTCCCAGCTCCGGAAGGCTCCAAGTGTCCTGGGCTTGTGGCCACCTCACTCCACTTTGCCACTGCAATCACATGGCTTCTTGTGGGGGGGTGGCTGTGAGTGTGTGTGCATGAGTGTGCATATGTGTGTGCATATGTGTGTGCGTGCGTGTGAGCATGTTTGTGTGTATGTTTGTGTGTGTGACTGTATGTGTGGGGTGTCTGCATGTGTGTTTATGTGTGCAATGTGTGTGTATGTGTTTCTGTGTCTGTATGTGTGTCTTGTGTATGCATGTGTATGAGTGTGTGCATATGTGTGTGTCTGTGTGTGACTGTGTGTGTATGTGTATTTTTGGGGGGGTGTGGGTGCATATGTGTGCATGTGTGTGTATGTGTGTGTTTCTGTTTGTGTATGTGTGTCTCTGTGCATGGGTGTGGGTGGGAGCATGTGTGTGCGTGTATGAGAGTGTGTGTGTGTAATCTCCCCCTTATAAGGACACTTGTCACTGCATGCAGGGCTTGCCTGGATAACCCAGGATAACCCCACATCTCAAGATTCTTCACTTGATCACATCAGCAAAGACCCTATTTGTGAATAAGGTTGCATTCCAGTTCCAGGGGTTGGGACAAGGACACCTCCGTGGGGGCATTTTTAGCCTGCCCCTGGGCTGCAAGTGGATGTGGGCTTGGTCCCTGAGGACTTGGGGAAGGCGCTGGGACCTCAGCCAGGGAGACAGTGGGCATGAGAAGACGGGATGGGGGGCCCGGGCCCAGCCAAAGGGGCCCTCACTTCAGAGCTGGCCAAGGCGTTGCTGTCCCAACAGTGGCAGGAGGGACCTGCTCAAGGAGGCGGCATGGCCTAGAGGCCCGGGAGAGAAGGGGCCTGGTGACCAGGCCAAGGAGCCAAGAGAGAAAGCAGTTGTGGGAGGGGAGCAGGGACTGAAGGGGATGGAGGCAGATGGAGAGAGGGAGGGGTGAGAGTGGGGATGAGGCAGCCAGGAGGGGCGGTGGGGGCAGCTGCTGAGAGCAGGGTGTTCTCTGTGGCTTTTGTTTCCCAGGCAATCATCAGCAATGTGGAAGAGTGTGGTGGGGACAGAGGCCTGGTGCACCCTAAGGAGGCAGGTCCAGGGCATGGTGGGGCAGGCTGGTTTGGGACCTGGGAGGGAGCTGGAAAGCAGAGTGGTCTGGGCCTCCCTGGGTTTGGCTCCCTAAGTACTCCCAGTGCAGAGGACAGGACTTGCTGTGTGGGAGAACTTTCTAGTAAAGCTCCCACCTCTTTACTGATGGAGGACGCAAGAGGGGCTGGCCAGTGAGCAAGGATCACCAGTGACACTGGCAGCATTTGCCTGGCACTCAGGTGTCCTCATTCCCAGGCCTGGGCCCTCAGGGCTCTGGGCTGGGAACCAACAGACACAAACCACAGAGAAAGGACCATCACCTTACCTGGCCATTAGCTGTTTAGGGGCCACAGTTTGCTGAGGACTGGGGACTTCCATGAAACTTTGTTCCTTGGCCATCTGACCTTGGCCCCAGTGGGCTCATCACAAAGGTATGCACCATGGCCAACTCTTGACTGGATTAGCCATGAGCAGTGCCCTGGGGGCCCAGGGACAGAGGCAAAGTGGTGGGGCAGGTAACCCCTGCCTCAGATTTTCTCCCCCAGACTTGCTTCTTCCCCTGCCCACACATGTCTGCTAAGAGGTGTTTGTCTTCAGCCAGGACCCACTCCTTGCCCAAGGGATGCTCCTGCTGGGGGCCACCAAAGGAGGCCGGCTCAGCAGACTGCCTCTGCCTTTGCTCACTCCAGAGCAGGGCCCTGGGGCCTGGGATGGAAGGACATGACCCCAGGGAGCCCGCCACAGTGTGGGAGGCCAAGAAGGAACACGGCCTGAATGTGCTGGAGAAGGGAGGCCACGGGCCCTCAGGAGGCACTCCTGTGCCCACAGCTCCTCTGCCCTCCTGTGGTGCCTGGGGGCATGGGGGGCAGCTGGCCTCCCGGCCGGGGGCCAAAATCCAGTTTACAACCTGCTCGGGGTGGGATCCAGTGTCCTCTGGGCCTCCACTTCCCCATCTGGAATGTGGGGTAGTAAGAGGAGCGACTCCAAGATGGCAGGGCTCTCGAGAAATGGCCAGAACTTAGCTCACGATAAATTTCCAGCATGATTGGGGTTTGCTTTAGTCTTGATTTTTCCCATTTGGGGCAATGGGAAGTCACAGACTGTGTGTGTGACGGGGGGATGTCCCCATGGCAGCTCTAGGCCCTGAGGAGCACATGCCCCAGGCTCAGGAAAAGCTGCCTCAGAGTTGGCGTGGAAGGGGACTGCATGAGTGTGGAAATGAATATGTGTGAGAGTGTGAGTGTGGGTGCAAACCGAGTGGGGAGTGTGTGTGTGAGTGTGACTGTGAGTAACTGTGTGTGTGTGCATGTATGTGCCCGTGTGCTCACTGGATGAGTGTGTGGGTTGTGTAGGTGTGAGAGCATGTAACTATGCATGAATCATTGTGTAACTGTGTGGGCCACTGAGCTGGTGTGGGTGAGGGTGTGTGAGTGAGCACATATGACTGTGAGGATGTGTGTGCGTGAGATTGTGTGTGCATGAGTGTGTGTGTGTTTGTGTAGGTAGGTGAGCGAGCATGAGTTCGTGCATATGAGCAGGTGTGAGTATGTGTGCATGCATGTGAGTGGGTGTGAGTAAGCATGTGTGAGCGCACATGTGAGCAGGTGTCTGAGTGTGTGTGTGTGCGAACCTCAGCCCACACTGAGAGGTGCCAGGGGCTTGGCCCTGGCTCTGGGATGCCAAATCTCGCTGGCTTTCCACAGAACCAGCTGCTTCCTGTGGAAGGGAGGAGCAGTCTGTGGGGTTTGTGACAGTTCCCTGGTGGCAGGGGCAGCAGAACCTTCCTGTCCTTTTGGTCCCTAGCACAGTGGTGCCTCCTCAAAGAGGCCTTCCCTGAGCCGCCAGCAGCCTCTTTCATGGCTCCCCATCAATGGGGTTCCATAACCCTGACCTCAGCGGCATGAGCACATTTGCCATCTGCCGGCCACTCCCTGCTTTGTGGTCCCTGCTGTGTCCCCGGTGTTCAGCTCTGGTCTGGCACACAGCATGTCCAGGGCCCTCTTTGTCCAAGGCAAGAAAGAATTCAAGGCTGCATCCAGGCCTCTTGCACCTGCCCCAGGCTCCCGCCCAGAGCCTCTACCTGTGCCCCAGCGAGCATTCTCTGCTCGCTGCTCAGAATGCTGGCAAAGGCCGGCCCTGGGGTCAGAGGCCTCCACTGCCCTTGGAGCTGGGAAGCCTGGGGGTCCACCGGCAGGCATGGGGGTCTCTGTCCGGGTAGGTGGGAACGCATGCTTGTGGGCTTGGACAGGTGTCTGCACTGGGGTTTGTCTGTGAGTCTGTCTCCACTCACACCGGGGACGTATGTACCCCTGCGTGTCTGTCTCTGGTGCCCACCTGTGTGCAGTCTCTGTGTTCTGCCTAACCGTGTTCCCGTGATAAGCAACGGTGAGTATCTCTGGTAAGCGCGGCTTCTTCTGGGTAGACGCATTTGGACATCTGTACTCTCAACAGGTAGTGTGAGTTTGCAGGAGATCACCAATGCCTTGGAACCCACCGAGGCAAGACCCAAGGACCCCACGCTACACATCAGCCACCTGGCTCTGTGCCCCATTTTACTGTTGGGGAGAAGCACCTAGAGGGCAGGGGTCTGGAGAGGTAGTGGCAGCCTGGCGCCCCAGCCGCAAGCTCAGGGTGCTCTCTCTGCACTCACAGGTGCCATGGTCCCCCAGTTTCCATCCCCACCCACCCCCACTCGGCCAGTGCCCTTTGGGGGCAATGCCAGGCCTGGAAGGGCGGGCACCCCCGCGCGTTCTGGGAACAGAAGGGCACGCACCGGGTGCGTAGCACCAGAGCCCCGAGGCCCCTGCGCCGCGCACCGCCCCCCGCGCCCGCTCCCTCCTCCCTCCCTTCTCCTCACCAAGCTCCCTCCCCCTCCCCCCTCCCTCCCTCCGCGCTCAGAGCTGCGGTTGGAGCCGAGCGCGCCGCGTCGCCCGCCGCCGGTGCAGAGCGTGGGGAGCACTCGGCCGGCCGCAGCCCTCGCCAGCCGCGGAGGGTCGCGTCCCGCGCCTCTGGCCAGGCCGCCCCGTGCCCGGGCCTTTCCGTCCTTGGAGCAGATCGTTGCCCGCCTGGCGCCCGCCTGCAGTGACAGCGCCCGCCGGAGCCGAGGCCGCGGCGGCGGCCGTGCCCATGCCCGGGTAAGTGGTGCTCGGGGCGCGCGGGCGCCGCCGGGGTGGGCGCGGGCGCGGCGCGGGCACAGACGCGGGCGGGGATGGGAGGATGACCCGGCAGGTGGTGCGGCGGCAGGTAGAGGGACCCGGGTCCCCGCCCGAGGCACCTGAGCCCCTCGCCGGGCCTGCGTGTCCTTGCGGCACCGCGGCCGCGCGTCACCCCGGGGCCCCAGGCCGGCGGGCAGCGCCCCGCACCCTGCACCCTGCGCCCCGCGTCGCGCGCGCACGCGCATCCGTGTCTGAGGAACAAGGCCTTTGGGGGCTGCGGGCCGGGGCTCAGGGTGGGCACAGCCGGGGGCACGGGATCTGGGCCGGGAGCCCGCCGGTGCGCACGCACCTTCCCAGAGCCTCGGGCACCCCCTCCCCCCCGCGCCCTCACACTGTATCATCCTTCCCCTCTCGCGTTCCCACACCGTTCCCCGCACGCCTACGCGGCTGCCCAGCAGACCCCACCATGGTCATGGGCAGTGCCCATGAGGAGCCGCCCCCGGGGCCGCACTTAGGTAACTTCTCCATCCCTCCAGGAACGGCTGTCTCCCCCTCCTCGCCTCTGTGACCTTGGCCAGCTTTTCCTGTGGCCGCCTCCGTTTTCTCACGGGTGAAAGCTCTGGCTTTAAGATTCTGGAATTTGGAATAGCAGGTGCCGCATCTCTCAGAGCCTGAGACGATGGGCTTCTCTCTCTATGACCTGGTGTCCTTCTTTCTGCTGGCCCTTCTGGGGGTTGGTGGCTCAGCCAGCCGGCTGAGGAGAGGTGGGAGGCAGGGCAGGGGCATGGCGCACGGGCAGGTCAGAGCTGGAGGGAGTCTTGGAGAGCCCCCGGGGTGACGGCTCCATGAGGGTTTAGGAGAAACTGTGGAAATGCTCCTTGGCTCACTCAAGGGGCAGGGAAGGGACCAGAATTCTTCAACTAGATGCTTGCCATTTTCTGGCGAGGCCATATAACTTTCAAAGATGAAGCCCCGAGGCTTCCGACCCCAAGGGAGTCCCTACCTGCTAAAGGATCAAGTCCAGCCTGTCCCCAGCTGGCCCCCATCGTGAATTCCGCTGGCACCCTAAAAGTCAGCGACTTCCCCTGGCTGACTTGGGCGCCAGTCTGGCAGGCACCCCCTGCACTTCCTCCCCTCCTTTGCCCACTAGGCTCTGTGCCCTCGCCCCTGCCATCACCCCTTACCAGTCAGTGACCATCTTAAGGCAGGGACTGGCTCTTCATTTGCACAGGCCTGGCACAGAGTGGGCACCTGGTTTTTGCATGGCATATTCATGACCTTGACCTCACTGAATCTGCAAACTCACTGAACAGGAGAGGAAAGGCCTGGACTTTTGTCCCCATTTTTCAGATGGGATCATTGAGGCCCCCAAGAGAAGGGACTCAGCCCTGAATTGAGGCCACTTCCTTCATGAGCAGATGGCTGGGGACATTCCTATGGACCTGGTGGGGCAGGGAGGCAGGGAGAGGTTATCATAATAATCAAAGGCCAGCCCCACTTCCTGAGCTCCATCTGAGTCTCACATCAACCACACGAGTGAATGGCTGTTTTCATCCCCAACCCCCACCCCCCGCCGCCTCTTTTCACAGATGAAGAAACCAAAGCCATGTGGCTCATGAAAGGGGAGCTGGGATTCCGAGGAGAGGGCTGGGGATGCCTGGGCCCCTATGGGACACAGCTGAGACCCAGCAGAGGGTCCCAGGGTGAGGTCAGCCCTCAAGTCTGCGCCATTGGAAGGGGCTGGGAACTTGTGGTCCCGGGCCATTGATTGTCTCTGCTGCAGGCCCCAAGGCAGGGGGGGGGGCGCCAAGGACACAGCCAGTCTCCATCAGCTCCACCTGGGCCATGCCCAGCACGGCCAGGTGGTTTGAGTGCAGGGGCAGGCTCTCACACAGCAGGGGGCAACAGACAGATGGATGTGGGGCGGGCGTGGGAGGGGGCTTGCACAGAGCCAGAAGGAGAGCCAGTCCCTTGAGGAAGGAAGCCCCTAAGGCTAAGAGCATGCCAGGGGACAGCCACAATGCCAGGTGATGGAGATGCCCCAATCGGCCCCCGAGGGGCAAGGAAGGGGCCAGAGGAGGCTCATGTGGGCGCCTAGGGCTTCAGCAACAGCAGCCCCATACCTGATGGTCTTTGTGACCTTGGCCAAGTCCCTTCTCCATTCCAGATCCAGGGAGGGTGGGGGTGGGCCTGGGCGAGCTGGAGCTTCAGAGGTTGAATCATTCACTAGCGGGAGAAGCCAAGCCTGTGAGTCAGTGAGTGCTCTCCATCCCAGAACGTCTGCTCCCAGCCCAGGGATGCAGCCATGGAGTGCCGGGGTCAGCTGTGGAGGACCCTCTGAGAATGTCTTGTGGAAAGGGGCGCCTTGCCTGCCCAGTAGACAGGACAAGGGTGCCCCAGAGCCCCAGGGGCTTCTGAGAGCTGAGTACCCTCTGGGCCTCTTGCAGCCAGCAAAGCCAGGCAGAGCTTCCTCTGGCCTTTGCACCTCCTCCCCCACCTCACAGAGCAAGTCATCAGCACATATGAACTCCCTTCTGATTTTAAATTGATGGCTTGTGTATTTCACCAATGGCCACTGTCTCCATCAGTGGTCAGTAGCACATCAAGTAATGTCAACAATGATAATAGTTATAATGGCAGTCACTTTATGTCAGACACTGAGTGCTGTACAGACATTTCCTTGCCCACTTAATTGAAACAACAAATTATTGCAAGTGCTGTTATCCCCATTTTGCATTGAAGCTGAGACCCAGAGAGGCTAGGTAACTTGCCCAAGGTCACACAGCCGGTAGGTAGCAAATCCAGGGCTCAAATGCAGTCCATCAGGCTCCGGAGTCTGGTCTGTGCTTGCAGTCATTAGTTCCTATATCTCCAGAAGTGTGTGCAGAAGTCAGCAGAATAGAGTGTGGTTTGTGTGAACTCACTGTCTCGGGTACTCCCAGCCCTGTGGGCTGAAGTCAAGGATTCTTGGGAAGACCTTGCAGCTCAGAAGCCGAGCCACCTGCACCTCTGCCCCATGTACCCACTGAGAGAAATGAACAGCAGGTGGATTTATATCAATCTCCAGCAACTCAGAGACCCGTGTGCTTTGCATTCATGGCCCCTTCAGGGCACCCCGAAGCACTGGTAGTGCACATAAATGGCAGCTGATAGATGGGGACCTGTGCCATGGCACTGAAGGCAAACGCTTCCATCTAAGCAAGTGCGAGCCTCACCAGTGCCATCTCTGAGATAGGCCGAGGCACTGGGCTCTCGCTGTGACTTTGCAGCAAGCTCCCCAGCAACGCCCCGGGCTGGGTATGCCAGGCAGAGACCTGGAGCATGCACAGGGCTCCTCCCTTCCCCGCCCTGGCTAAGCTGGCAGAAGCCAGGCCAAGCAGCGCGTAGCTGGAAAGCCCTCCCCTGCCTGGGCTCCTTCTGTTGGGTGGGTGGTGCTGGCAGTGGGCCTGGAAGCCTGTGGAGAAGGATCCGAGCCACGCATCACCGGGGCAGAGGGAAGCAGGCTCTCAAATGCAGGGGAATTCGGGCATCCTGGACTGCCCAAGGTTGGGAAGAGGACAAGTCCAAGGTCACATAGCTGAGTAGGTGGCAGAACTTGAATCAGAGCAACAGGGCAAGGGTGGAAATGCCAATGGTTGGGGAATCTTGGAACTGGCAGGAGTCTTTTAGCGCACAAGGAGGTTTTCGGAGTCTTAGTTCCAAATCACAGTTGTGCAAAGCGGGTATGTTCATGTCCTTGGAGAACACCTTATTTAAAGGGGTCCTGAGCCACCCTCTCATGTTGTGTAGGTGGGTCTCTCAGTAAGTGAGCAACCATTTTATTCCAATGAGAAGTTCTGCCCTGAGGCCACAGGCTCTAGCACTTTCTCCAGCTGCACTGTTCAAGCAGCAATTTTATTAGAATGCACTTCCTCAGGTGCACCAGCCACACTTCAAGGGCTCAGGAGCCACCTAAGGCTGGTGGCTACTGTCACAGACAGTGCAGAGAGAGAACAGTTCCATCACCCCCGAATGTTCTGTCACACAGAGTTGCTTTACAGGAAGTGGAAACCGGAGTCCTCACACGGACCCTGAAGCCACCTCTCACACCCACTCCCTGGTGGCACAAGGCCACTAATGCAGCAGCTTCGCTCCCCCAGAGAACCATCCTGAAGAGAAGCCCCAGAGAGGACTGACTGCTCACAGATATTTGGAGAGGTGTTCTGTGATGGGCCAGGTTCCAGTCTGAGAGCTTGACAGGTAGGGACAGAAAGTGCCAGGCTGGGCCTGAGCAGGTCGTTCCTCAGAATGGATGAGTGCATACCATTGTCAGAATGGCGTCAGCTATGCCAAGGGCCACATCTTATTGATGTGATGGGCATGAGGGACACTGCCCTGGTTCATTGTGTGCCAGGCTCTGTGTTTGCTTCAGGGGTGACGACAGAAAGCAAAAAGCAAACGCAATGCCCTTCCTGCCCTCCTGGAGCCTTTGCGCTTTGCTATGTGTTCACCAAAGTAAGTGCAAACATGGCTGGGACCAGGAGAATGGACTGAGGCCACGAGGCCAGCCAGTATCTCCTAGGGCTGGGGTCTACAACCTGAGTCCCTGCCCATCCTGCCCTGACTCCGCCTCCTCAGCAGCCACACGTGGCTGGTGGCTACCATATGGGCCAGTGCAGAGACTCTGGGAGGTTCTGTCACACAGAGCTGCTTTAGAGCAAGTAGAGACCCAAGTCCTCACACAGACCTAGACACCCCCAGCCAAGCCCACTGCCCCATAGCTCCTTGGAAGGGAGTGGCCAAGCATGTACTCTCCAGGGGCTGCACAGATACCTGGACAAACGCAGACCAGGGAGGAGGGGAAAGGCCTCAGTCCCAGCAGCTCACCGTGCCATGGGGGATGCCCAGACCTCGCCTCATGCTGACTCCAGTGGCCCTAGCACACCCAGCATGGGGCAGAAACCAGATCCGGCCACCACCTGGTCCTTATTGGGCCCCGC